CAACTCCTGCAGCTCAATTCCAGAAAAATACAGAAGTTTTTAAAAGAAAAACAGAGCCTAAAACAATATATTATTCAAAATGTCCAGAATACTACCTTAAATTTCTCAATAATCTAAGGTTCAGGAAAATGTGACAGATTCTCAAAGGAAAAAATAATTAACAGTTGCCAATTCTGAGATTACCCTGATCCTGTAACAGTCAAAAAGTTTAAAACATTGTTACTATATCCATGTGGCAAAGATAACTTGAAATTAATGGGAAGACAGAAATTTTCAGCAAAGAAACAAAAACTATTTAAAAAAACAAAACAGAAACACAAATTTTGGAAGTAAAGGATATAATATCAGAAATTTTAAAAATTTCACTGGACAGGTTCAGCGGCTGAATGCAGAACACTGAGAGAAGTGTCAGCGGATGTGACAAAGGAGCAACAGAAATCATCCCATCTGAAATAGACAGAAAAAAGGTCGGGGAAAAATGAGCAGACTCATGACACTGGAAGAAGAAAAAAATGTAGTGAAGAAAAAATATTTAAAGAATGGCTGAAAATCTGCCAAATTTGGCAAAATATATAAAGCTACAGATTCAAGAAGCTAAATAGAGACTGCAAACAGGCCTCCGGGTTCTAGCTAAAGACTTCCTGAGACCCGACTGACGGTGCGTGATGGGGCCGCGGAGGGAAAAAGTGCGCCGTACCCGGGGAGATTGCGCCCAAGCCTCTGGCTGCCTGGGCCGCTCGCCGCGGAGGGAAAAGGCGCGCTGCACCTAGGAAGAATACGCCCAAGCCTCTGGCTGCCTGAGCCGCTCGCCGCGGAGGGATAAGGCGTGCTGCACCCGGGAGACTACGCCCAAGCCTCTGGCTGCCTGAACCGCTCAGGCCGGGGAAGGCACAAAACGCAGGAGCAACCGAATCTGCGCTTTTGTGGAGTACCCGAAAACTGGAACCGCACTCAACGCAGGGCCCGCTCCATATAGAGCAGCCGGGAGCCTGAGCAGTGTAGACGGCGAAAGCACAGACACCCGTGAGCGGGGCAAACCCAGTGTGGCCGGAACACGGTGAGCGCTATCCACACAGAGCGGT